TCCAGAGGCTCTCCCTCTGCAGTCAGGATGGGCATGAGCCAGCTCAGACACAGATTCATAACATCAATTTGCTCAGCTCTGCACGAGTGCTCACCACAGCAGCACAAGGAGTTGCTACTGGAAGGATTTTCTGTTTCCCAAAACAAACTCCTGTGTCTGCAGATGAAAACTTCCAGAGGAAAATAAAGATCAAATTTGCCAGTGCTTTCCAAAGGAAAAACTTACTGAGCTGTTTGGTTTTAAGTCGATTTGGTCTGAATATGTTGGGTTGGAATCAAACACTTGTAACAATGCATTAAACCCCTGACCTGCAGTTTCCTCTCAGCAGGATATTTCCGGAGCAGGGAAGGGTGTGAATGCAGCCCTGGAGCACACTCACAGCTCCACAGGCTCCCTGTGAGGCTGCCCATTCCCAGCAGGCAGCAAACGTTCCCTTCTGACAGCTTGTACACATCCCACGAGGTACATGTGTCCTGCAGGGAATGGGGTGGGATGGGGAAAATGCAGGCAAACTCCCACACCCCAAATCCTGTGGGGTGCAGAAATGTGGGTTCACACTGAATCCCAGACTGGTTTGGGTTGGAAGGGACCTTAAAGCTCGTCCCATCCCACCCCTCCCATGGCAGGGACACCTTCCACTGTCCCAGGTTGCTCCAAGCCCCATCCAACACCTGGACACTGCCAAGGATGCAGGGGCAGCCACAGCTGCTCTGGGCACCCTGTGCCAGGTCCACCTATTGCAGTGCTCAAATCAGCCAGAGGCTGACACAGGCAGGGGCTGTTCAACACCAAACTGTGCTCTTTGGGTTTGAAATCCTGAAAGGAAAGATGCCCAGGCCAGGTCTCAATGCACTGGCAGGACTTTGTAACATATCAGCTGGCAAATAGAAAAAATGGAGGAGCTGTAATGGCCATAAACTAAAACAGAAGGAGTTCCACCCAGCATGAGGAAGAGCATTTCTCCATGAGGGTGGCAGAGCTCTGGAACACCTGCCCAGGGAGGGTGTGGAGTGTCCCTCTCTGGAGACATCCCAAACCCACCTGGACACGCTCCTGTGACACCTGCTCCAGGTGACCCCACCTTGGCAACCTGTGATCCCAGGTACACACAGCATTCCTGAGATCAAAAGGTACCACCTTCACCTCCAAAATCCTGGCTGGTGTCTGTGCTGGGACTATCACAGCCACCAGAAGGAACAAAACCCCCAAAGGGGGCAGCTCAGTGCAGAACCTCCCTCTGCTTTCACATCCTCTCCAATCCCATTCTACATTTAACCTATCCAGGATGCCAAGTGCCCCTCCAGAACTCCCAGACTCCTGGGTCCATCTGCACTCAGGATCTCCAAACTCTGCAATTCCCACCTTGGAGAGGCTGTAAAACAAACACCCTTCATGCTGGAACCCACACCAGGCTCTGCAGCTCCTGCTAGCTCTGCCTGCAAATAACCAGACTGCCCAGGGTTTAAACTCTGTGCAGTGATTTATTACATACAATTAGACAGGATGACCAGCAGTAGCTTTTTTGTGACACTTCCTGAAGGTTGGAATTTTCTCTCTTGTTTATAATAAATTAAACAAATCACAGGGATTAGAACATACTTTCGTTTTGTAACGTGGCAGATCCAAATGCAAATTTGTGACCTCATGGGTCAGAACATTACTCAGAAACCCTCAAGATGAGCAATAGCAAGAGGCTGATCTCAAGGCTTCAGCAGAGAGCTCTTCCTGCAGCAAAGGCAGTGGCAGCCCAGCCCCATGGGCTCCTCTCAGCTCTCAGCAGCACTAAACACATTAGTGCTCATTGTAGATGATTTGTGGGCAAGAAACAGCAGCTCAAGAGCTTCCTCCAACCTCCCAGCCCGGCACAGCAGCACAATGGATGTGTCTGCCCAGCCAGGAGACAGCTGAGAGCCACAAACCCTCCTGAGCCACCAGCAGCACCCGGAGGGCTGAGCCAGGAGAGGGCTCTGGGCACACCCAGAGCTGCTGCCAGGCCAGGGATGGAGCAGGTCGTGATGGGGAGAGACCCCTCAGGGTGACATGGGGCCAAAAAGCCAGGACAGCTCACACATCCTGCCCTGATCATCCTCATCCCTTCTAGCTGCCACCAGCAGTCAGGGGTGGGCAGTCCTGAGCCCCCTTCACCCCAATTCCCAGCAGCCTGAACATGTCCCCAGAGCACAGCCAGCCCCTCTCCAGGGGAATCCCTGTCCCCAGAGCACAGCCAGCCTCTATCCAAGGGAATCCCTGTCCCCAGAGCACA